AGCAGACTAATGTGGGGGAAAATGAGAACTACTGCAATTCAGCATAGACTAACATTAACCAAATTACAATAACCAATAGGTGGAAACAATTAAATACAACATTAGAAGTGAATTAATTTAGCCTAGTTGCAACTTTCATACTTGAATATATAATAGCAAATATACCTAGAACTTTAATATCACTGGTGCAAGAAGTAAACCTCCTTACATTGAAAACAAGAACCTGTCTTTTGGACTAGATTTCCAGATTATTTTCATAGTACAAAAAATTTTAGTTACATATACAATTAAAAGAAACTGGAGAACCAAGACAATAAAAATCCCCACAGAATCAAAACTAAATGTCAAAAATACAGGACATTCGCTTGGATAAGGGAAATCAGCAAGAAAGAAAAGTGGCCTTTTCTAGGTCTAGAGAGGGCTTTCTGATATAAAATGGTTGAATTCAGAATTGGAAAGGCAACCAGGAGTTGAAGGCAGTGTCTTCCCAGAACCGGTTTCTGAATGTGGGGGAAGGGGCCAAACATTCACTCTTTCCATTCAACATTTACTGAATGTTTCTCTGGGCAAGGTAATTGACAAAGGTCTCAGTTTTATCTTATGTAAAATGTCTGCTTACCAATGTTGTGAGGATAAGAGCAGCCAGTATTTATTAACCATATCACTTGCTTAATAATTTACAACTCCATGAGATAGGTTCGACTGCCATTTCACAGATGAGAAAACTGGACCACAAAGTAACTCTGAGATGGATGATCACAGCTTTGGAAACGAGGCTGTACGATCTCAGATCCAGAAACTTCTGAACCACTAACCCAAGTGTGCTGTAAAAAACATGTTCCCTTTCTTCAATTATATTCCTACCATCTCTGAAGTTAATAGAAAATGACATATCTCTAAAGCAACCTATGTGCCTGCAAAGGTAAAGTAATTAACTGTCCTCATAACAGCCTTATAAAGTTGGTTTGGGTTTCAAATAAGCTTCAGTTTATTTTACAAGGAAAAAAATCACACTCAAATTATGTTGCTGACAGAAATGTTCCTGAGTCTGAGCTCAGGGTCAAATATTTTCCCAAGACCTAATTAATACAGTGGGGCACAGGGAGTGGAGGGGACAAAAGAACTTGACCATACAGATTTCAGATACATAGAAATAAAAAAGAATACTGTGAAACAGCAGCCTTAGAGCCTGTTGTCCATCAAGATTCTAGAATATTCTACCCATTGACTTTTCATCTCTAATCTCCCACAAAATACCAACAGAAGGTAGTGGAGTCCCTGTCTGTCTTTTCCACCCTAATTCCCCTTGATAAACCAAATCTTTTATTATATACACCTATCTGATTATTAGAATGAAAGCATTAAGTTCTATGGTATTTAAAAATTTCCCAGGATACAGAAATTCTACCAGTAACTGAGATATGAAGAACTAAGAAAAACAATCTCAGTCTATGTGCAAAACACCTCACAGGCATTTTAAATACATGAAAAATAATAGCCTGAAGGAAAACCAAAATTTACTATGTTCAAGGTTTTTCATGACCTGGCTCTTTCTATTCACTTCAGAAATGTACTGATACTGGTTGCCTTTCAGTATTTGTAATTTGGTCATCCAAAACTTAGGAGAAATGTGTTCATTAAACAATGAAAAGAAAAACTGGTTTTCAATTTTTATGGAATTTTTGGTGTGTATGTGCAAAACATTTAAGGACATTATTTTCCAGTCATAACCATTTCTAAACTAAAAAAAAAAACTAAACGGATTAGAACAGTAGAAATCACGAAAGAAGCAAAGAAGCAACAGATATGGTGCTGCTTATCGAATGTCTAGACTGCAGGCAAACCCCAAATACCAAAGAAGCATCCATGTGTCAAACCAGTATAATTTTTTGAGCTATGCCTGGGGCCACATACCCAAAAAAAAAAAAAAAAAACCACGGAAGGGTTGTAACCAGAAGGTCAACCCCAGTTCACAGGAACTAGGGAGAAACTAGAAGGGTCAAGCTAGCTAGCCATTACCAGTGTCATCTTCCGGAGCAGCTTCCTCACCAGCCCCTTATAATATCTCTGAAAGGCCCAACCCCCAAGTTTGCTTCCTCAAGGTCATGCTAAGATAATGCATTTGAATACTTGAGTCGCACACACCTAGACCAAAAAAGATCCCCTCTCCCAAAATCATTGCATAAAATGCCATTAGCCTTTGCTCCGGAACTTCATCAGAAACTTCCAGACTTAAGGCTGGGCAACTAAATGTGTTCAGTTCTGCAACATCAATTATTAAAGGGCTTTTCAAGTCTGGCAAAGCAGCAATTCCAAAGCAGGTGCTTTCAGTGTACTTTTAATGATAAGGTCAAATTCATTTTAATTATTAAAAGAAAAAGAAAAAGAAAAAAGTTGTCTTTAAACTTCCTTGGGACAACGTCAACAAGGGAAAACCAATGCTGGGATAAAACTGTAACAGGGTCCCTGTTTGGCTAAACAGTAATTCCTCCTCTTCTGAGTGCCTGCAGTAATGGAAGGTTAGAAGGAGAAAATAAAAACAAAGAAACTGACTGGGGTCAGTTACCAGCACAAACTCCGCACAACCTTCCCACCCCAAGAAACCCACCCCAACCAAAACAAACCTGCCCTTCCCGGTTTCCCCCTCCCACACCAAAGCACACAAAGCCTGCTGGCACGCACGATTCGCCCACAGACCTGGCTTCCCTCAGCATCAGCAGGGCAACCAGGAGCCCCGAAACTTCCCCATGGGGCTTTTCGGGTGTCGTCCGGGTTGGGCCCCCTGGACGTGCGAGGACGCTCGCGTGGAGGAGGGGCTAGCGGCACTCGCCCGTTTCCCCGAAAGCAGCAAAATGCCTCCCGCGTGCTCTCCCGGGGTCTCGCCCCCCCCTCCCAAACTGCGCGTCCCCTCGGCACGCGGCGACCGAGGAGAGAGACACCAGGCGGCAAATAGAAATGCTCCCTGGTGGATTTGTTGGTAAATAAGACATCACGGGTCGGGAAGAAAGAAAGTTCCTGTGAAGGGCGGCTCGCCAGGGCGAGGGCAGCGGGAGGTGAACCGCATCCCCCGCAGACGCCTCCCTCACCTGAGTGGGAACAACGGGCCCCCGCGCCCGCCCGGCCCGCCTGGCGCCTCCCGCAGGCCGCGCCTCCCGCACGCCGCGCTGCCGGGGCTTGTTCCTCCTCATGGCTTTGCCCTGACGTAATTCAAACATGGCAACAGTTCGACTTCAAAGGCGAATCCACAGACCTCCCAGACGCAGACTCCCGGGCCACCAGTAACGGCCCGAGAAGTCCGAGTCTAGCTCTCCCCGACCCTCGCCGGCCGCGGCCCCCGGAACCTGGGATGAAGCGCTGGGGGCCCGACTCGGTCTCCTCACCCGCGCGCCCGGAGCAGGGAAGCACGCCGCCTCCCTGCGCACCAGCATGGCACCTAGCACAAGTCGCGCCGCCAAAGTTTCCCCACGAGGGCCTGAGGGACAAAAGCCCCTCCCGACACTCGCCCAAACTTCGGGGCCCCTGGCCCGCAAGGCCCTTTGCTCGGCCGTCGCCCCGAGCGCCGCGGGGCCCGCACGGGCACATGCAGCTCTTTGTTTTCTGTCCAGCCCGGCGCTGCCTACGTGCAGCATCAAGGATGTCGGAGTGTTTCTCAGGGGCGAGACACTTGACGAGCACCTCCGGGAAGGGTCCCGACCCGCGTCCTGAGGGTCCGGAGCCCCATCCTCCCGTCCTCCCCCTGGCAACGAGGCCATTTAATCAAAGTTTTGCAGTGTCCTTGATGAGAAACGCCCGGATTGCCCGCCCCGCACAGGCTGAGAGTTGGCGACTTTCACTCTGCTTTTTAAACTGGCAGGACGCCATCATCAGCGAATCACATTGTCCTGCCGGCCGGACCTGCCCGACAGCGACCGCATCCCACAGCTCACAAGGAGCTGGACATTCATTCCCAGAGCAGGATTGCTGCCCGAAGCACGTGGTCTGTCATGTTGAGCACAAAAAGCGGTGCCCTCCGGAGTTCGCTCGCTCCCGCAGCGCAGACAACGCCACTGCCTCCATCCCTCAGGAACTTAGCTTAACTGGCCATCTTAAACCGCGGGCGGTCACCCTCCGAATGGGAAGTCCTCGCGTAGCGCCCACACCTACGCTACAGGTGAATAAATGGGGAGCAAAACTTCGGGCTGCAAAGACACCTCGGCCACCAGCGGCTGTTGGGCGCGGTCCGCGGACAGCAGGCGTGTGGAAGCCAGGCTGTTTTTAAGCGACCGCGTGTTGCTCTCATTGTCGCATCCGCATCCCCCCCGGAGTTGGGCAAACAACGCCACGCCGCGTGCGCTCCCGAGAAACCCGGCGCTGACCACCGAAGGCCGATTTAAACCCCCTAGCGCCGCCAGCTCGGAAAGGAGATGGCAAAGTAGTTTTCGAGCGATGGCGTTTATTGTCCACCCTATCAAAACACGCGCAGGGGGCTGCGATCAAACTACAGAGCGAGGTTTCACAACGGCGCCCGACCCTCCTCGGGCTCGCGCCCACGCGGACGCACGACCCCGGGCCGCCCCGCGACTGCCAGCAAGTCATTTTCCTCCTGGGCCTTCCAGCCACCGGGTTCTCTTTCGCTAGGGAACACTGCGGCTGCGAAAAGTCATTGTCACCTTCAACGTGGATCCCTCAACTCCGCGACTCCTCAGTCATTTCCAGGATCCACTCACTTCCCCCGGCCCCCGACTTTCGGTTTACCTCAAATACCCTCCCCAATTATTAAGTACACGCTAAACATGTACACACAAAAGACCCCGGGGTCTGAAAACCACAAAAACAGCGCTCCCAGCAATGCCATCTCCAAGACAAAACTTCCTGTGTTTGTGTGTGCGTGTGTGTGTGTGTGTGTGTGTGTGTAAGGGCTGGGGGGAGGTGGGTGAGGTGAAAGAGGAAAAAAAAAAACACTCTGAAATCAAAGCCTTGTGAGACAGTTTTGCACCAGAGTAATGATCATAGTCACTCACCTTCCCAAAACTGCCGATCCACGCGCAATAGCGTCCCCGAGGTGCGGAGTGCACACCAGGCCAACCCCCTCCAAGCGCTCCCTCCTCAACTGCCTTGTCTAGAAAGATTGTCTCCTGCAGTTCTGCAGTTGCTACCGCCGGACGGGAAGGTGTAGATTCCTCTTTCCCTCTGCGCACGCGCGGCTCCCGGTACAAAATTCTCTTGAATCGAACTTATTTGCATACGGGCGCGCGCGCGTCGCGGACTGGGAGGGGAGAAGGCCGGGCGGCCGCGCGCGCTCCCGGGGCCTCTATTGTCCTTTTAAGGGGAGAAGTACCGCGGCGCGGGAAACGAGGCGGCCAGAGGGAAACGAGGGCGGGGACGGCTTACTACGGCCGACGTCACATAAACAAACGCCTCCTGGCTGGAGGCGACTGCGAAGGGGGAGTGGCAGGATGGGAAAGGCGGAAAGGTTAGCTACAGGGGGAGAAAACTAGGCTGCGTGACGTGCTTTGCACTCCCAAAGTTCTTAGGGATCACGACTTGGCGTTGAAAAATAGTTTCAAAACTGCTTTGCAAAATCCTCACACCTGTGCCCAGGCTCTGGCATGAGGTGACCGAGAAGGTGGTCTCGTAAGCACCAGGCTGAAGTTATACTAACCCCATGTTTGCTGAATTTTGTTTTAAATTGAGTTTTTAATCTTTTAACCCTCCTCTACGTCAGCAAAGATTTAGTTTTCGTAGTTTTAATGAGTCGTTTAATGAAGTCCAATTTTGACATCCTGTCTATCCACCAACTCCCGCTTGCCCTTCTCACACGGTAACCCAACCCATAACAATCCAGGTTTTTTTGTTTTGTTTTGTTTTGTTTTCCGCTTTAGCAGTGAGATTTCAGGCCTCTCAAAATTGAATGGTTGTTAATTTCCGTGGGAACAGTGCCGCTTTCTTAAAAGACTAGTCGGTGGAAAGCCAGTAATCTAGGGACACGCATACCTCCTCCAGCTGCTTGTAAAAGGTGTTCCAGTCACCCAGAAATAATACCACTAACTGGTGGTCTTGGGAATTGAAAAAATAGTGAAATGCAGGCTTTTCCCTGTGGAACGTATAATAATCTAACAACCTGAACTATTTTAGGCACGGAGATGGTGGGTGGGGGGAATGTTGGGGGGAGGGAGGCTGAAGTAACTTCTCAGATGGAAAAATGGAAAATGAAAAAACGAAAAGATTGTGATACCTCTTTATTCCAAGGACACATGTAGCTCCAAAGACAGACAGTCTGGTTTACTGGTAATGGGAGGGTGGGGAAAGAGGATGTTTTTTCCAGAAACTTGATATTGGTCCCAAGCTACCAAAGTGTGAAAATCAACCATAAAACTTTATCATCTGCTGACAAGTTTCACTGCTTTCACTGTAGTGTCAACAATAAGAATTTAAATAGATACTTCTGAAACGCTAATTTAATTCAACAGCCAGTTCACTGAACATACATTACAAACCCACTTCTGAAGTCCTCAACTAAGGTTTTTGTTTGTTTATTTGTCTGTTTTTGTTTTCTTTCCTGTGGTACTGAGGATTTAACCCAAGACACTCTATGGCTGAACCATATCTGGAATTTTCAATCCTTCTGCCTTAGCCTCCAGGCTTGCACCACCAAGCCTGGGTAAATATATTACCAGTATTTTGAGTGTGTGTGTGTTGTTGTTTTTGTTGTTTGTGTGTGTGTGTGTGCCTGTGATGGGGATGGAACCCAGGGTCCTACATAAGTTAGGAAAGTGCTCTTCCATTGAGTTATATCCCCAGCCCAAGGATAGGATTTTATCTTACCCATTTTTGTATCCCAGTGTCTAAGAGCACAGAAGATTCTGAATACTGGATTATTGCTTGTGAAACAATAAATTAATGTACATTTTTAAATTTATAAAGGTTGGGCGGGGTATATAGCTCAGTATACAGCACCTGCCTAGCATGTGCCAGACCTTGGGTTCCATCCCCAGCACTGGAAAAGTAAACTTTTATTACAGATTTATCTCAAGTTAAAACATCTTTACTATTGTGTTTGACCTAAAATGAGTTCACTGTGGCTCCAGTGAGGCAATCTGTTAGCTTGTATTATTTATGTGACCTAAAATGAGTTTGGAGGTTATAGTGACCAACTTTGATTGATATGATGCTGACACTGGAGTTTTTAAGATGAGACTAGATTCTTTGCTTCACTAATTTCCTCTGGGTTCTTTTCTCACAAACTTTGAAGAATAAAACCTATGGTCTATCACAGAAGAGTAAACAGAGGAGGATTTATTGAAACAAAGATAGAAATCCTGCCATTCAGAAGGAGGCCTGATAGCAGAAAAACCATTTTGATATGCCATCTTAGGAGTTTATGTATGGTTCTGGGTAGAGCATGAGCAAAATGTATGTTAAACAGGCATTGAAAAAGTATGAAGGCTATTGACTTCCTATAACTTCCATCTGGTTCACACCCACCTTCCTTTTCCACCTTGGGGACAAAGGAGCTGGCTGCTGGGTGTCCTTACTGGTAAGCCCCAAGGTCTTTTACATTTGAAATAGGCCCTGATGGTGCTCATTCATATGTCTACTAGTTGCCTCCAGGTGTGGTTCCTGTGTTTGAATAAGACTGACCATTGACATTCTTATTCAGTGCCATTTCAGTTCTTGTGGTAATAAAAATTTTAAATAGGTTTAAAAACTGTAAACAGGGGGCTGGGGATGTGGCTCAAGCGGTAGCACGGGCTCGCCTGGTATGCGTGCGGCCCAGTTCGATCCTCAGCACCATGTACAAACAGAGATGTTGTGTCCGCCGAAAAAAAAAACTAAAATAAATAAATAAATTCTCTCTCTCTCTCTCTCTCTCTCTCTCTCTCTCTCTCTCTCTCCCTCTCTCTAAAAAAAAAACTGTAAACAGTTTTTAACTGTGCAGTGGCTCACACCTGTAAGCCCTTGGCTCTGGAGGCTGAGGCAGAAGGATCAGGAGTTCAAAGCCAGACTCAGCAACTTGGCAAGACCCTGTCTCTAAATAAAATATAAAAATGTTTGGGGTGTTGGGTGTTACTCAGTGGTTAAGCACCCCTGGATCCAATCCCTGGTACCAAAAAATTAAAATAAAAAAATAAATTAAAACTACTTCTGGGACTGGGGATGTGGCTCAAGCGGTAGTGCGATCGCCTGTCATGCGTGCAGCCGGGTTCGATCCTCAGCACCACATACAAACAAAGATAACTAAAAAATAAATATTAAAATTCTGTCTCTCTCAAAAAAAAAAAATAAATAAATACTTACATTTCCTCTTCAAAAATGTGGCTGCTGGTGCAAAAAAAATATATTACTTTAAAAAAAAAAACTATTTCTGGTCTGGCATGGTGGTATGTGCCTCAGCAAGGCTGAGGCAGGAGGATCACAAGTTCAAGGCCAACCTCAGCAATTTAGAGAGGCCCTAGGCAACTTAGTGAGACCCTGTCTAAATTTTAAAAATAAAAAGGGCTGAGCCACAGTGGTAAAAGCCTTCTGGGTTCAATCCCAAGTACTCACACCCCCGCAAAACAACAACAACAACAAAACTTGTTTCTGCGCTTTTCATTGCTGGCTCTAAGCATAAATTTTTACTACTTTTCTTTTCCTTTTTTTTTTTTTTTTCAGGCACTGGGATGGACCCCAAGGCTCGAACATGATATGCTAGGCAAGTACTCTATCATTGATGTACACCCTAGCCCATTACCCTCTAATATTTTAAAAGAATTTTAAACGCTGTTCTGAGTTGTCTCCAATACTTATTTGGTTAGTGACAGATCCTCCAAAAATAATTTTAATTAACTGCCTCTTAAAGTAGGAAAATTGAAAGTATCATAATATTTTTTAAACTTTAATTATTGCTAAACAGAGAAACATCTATACTATATATAAAATAGAAAAATGTTCCCGAAGCCAGGTATGGTGGCTCAGGCCTGTAATTTAGGAGGCTGAGGCAGGAGGATGCCAGGTTCAAGCAATTTAGAGAGGCCCTAACAAACTTAGCAAGATCCTGTCTTAAAATAAAAAGTAAAAAGAGAATGTGGTGGACTGGGGATGTGGCTCAAGCAGTAGCGTGCTCGCCTGGCATGCGTGCGCCCGGGTTCGATCCTCAGCACCACATACCAACAAAGATGTTGTGTCCGCCGAGAACTAAAAAATAAATATTAAAAATTCTCTCTCTCTCTCTCTCTCTCTCTCTCTCTCTCTCTCTCTCTCTCTCTCTCTCCTCTCTCCTCTCTCCTCTCTCCCTCTCTCCCTCTCTCAAAAAAAAAAAAAAAAAAAAAGAGGATGTGGTGCATCAGTTAAATGCTCCTGAGTTCAATCTCTAGTACTCCCTGCCCCCCAAAAAAAGTACCTTAAATGCCCTTTCTCTTGAAAATTATGTAATGCATTTACATGTGTATCTGTATGAGTATGTGTATTTGTAGAACTAGAGTTGTTGTGGTGGTAGAACATTTACTTGGCATGCACAGGCCCCTGAATTTGATTCCCAGCACCACAAAAAAGGAAAAAAATATATATGTGTGTATGTTTGTAGGAATCTAGGGATGGAATGAGCTTGAGTGTGCTTTGAGTGTGCAAGCAATGCAGGAATCACCATATTTAGAATATACCCTTTAAGAAAACCTAGAGGAGGCTGGGGATATAGCTCAATTGGTAGAGTGCTTGCCTCACATGCACAAAGCCCTGGGTTCAATCCCCAGCACCATCAAAAAAAAAAAAAAAAAAAGGAAAAGAAAGAAAACATAGAGGGCTGGGGTTGTGGCTCAGTGGTAGAGTGCTCCCCTCTTATGTTGGAGGCACTGTGTTTGATCCTCAGCACCACATAAAAGTAAAATAAAGATGTTGTGTTTATCTAAAACTAAAAAAAAAATATTTAAAAAAGAAAGAAAACCTAGAAGTTCCAAAGCTATGGAATTAATATCAAATGGCAAGACTTCCTCTGATTTCAAAGTAGAGGTCAAGAAGTAATCAGGGTAATTTTTATAGGAAGAGTAGCAACAAAAATCCTTGAGACAATTTTGAATTCCTCAGAGTCTTTAAAAAAAAAAAAAAAATCACCTGCTATTTTTGAACAAGCAACCAGGTGCATTCCAAAGTTTCTTTTGTTCATTTTGTTGCTGGAACATGTTGTTATTGCTGGCCCTATCCAGGGCCAATAGCTCACTTATGGACTACTTTCAGA